TCTGCCCCTCTAATCATCTCTCTTGTGACCTGTCAATCACACTGAGTAGAACAACTATTAGATTTTCTACCATTAATGTAATATATGTATATTTATTGGTCATGTAGATTGTATATTTTGATGATTTCTAATTTTTATTGTGTGTTGATGTGTTTGTTTCTGTAAATATTTGTGTTTAAAGTGTTAAGCGTTAGTGTTATTCTATTAACTGCATTACCTGCCTTCCAGACTGTTAAATCATCAGAATACAATGTCAGAAATAGGAAGCATTTATATGTTCCTTAAAGGTCTGTATGCCAAATAAAAAATGTTTTATTGTCTGACCATTGTTTCTGCAACAAGTGTTGCATACTTGCACAAATTACTGACTACATAGCTCTGTGACTTACAGTACATTAATATTTACTCATTTCACAGAGGATTTTATCCTAAACGACTTACATTTATGAACAACATACAAGCATCTTTAAAATAAGAGATCTACTATTAACAAGAGATACTAGTAAGAACAGCAATAATTCTAGTGAGAGCTATTAACACATATGACATCAATGGGATTAATTACTAGGGGAAGCTATAAGAGTTAACAAATAGTACAATCAAGAAATGTGAATTGTAATGAGATAGAAGAAGAAGAGCACAGGAAGGGCATCTTGGAGGTTAAGGGTTAGAGGTGTTATAAGAGGAAGTGTTCTCGGAAGAGATGAGATTTCATGGGAGCTTCTTAAAGTTAGAGGGACGCCCCCGCTCTGATGGCTTGCAGTAGCTCGTTCTACCATTGTGGTGTCACAGATTGCTTTGTGTGTAGGGATGGCAGAGCCAGGCGGTGTTCATTGGAGGAGTGTACTGGCTGAGAAGGAACAGAAGACTTTGTTATAGAGTTTAGGTAGATGGGAGCAGACCCAGTAATCACTCTGTATGCAAGCATTAGTGACCTGATTCGGTTTCTGGTGGCAATGGGTAGCCAGCGGATGTCCTTCAGTAGTCGAGTGACATTAGTCCTTTTGAGTTGATCAAAAACTAATCCCACATTTATTGCACAAGCTGAAAGATAGGAGGGAAATAGTCGAAGCAAGAGATTAACCACGGCCTGTACCAGAAGCTGGGTAGCATACTGAGTTAGGATGGGCAAAACTGGGAGACATGGCAACATGGTCCGAGAAAGACAGCTTCTCACCACCTAGGTTCGGGTGAGGAGGAGCCAATTTGTAGTTTGATGTATGGTGGATAGATTGGTTGGCAGGGATGACCAAGAGTTCAGTCTTAGAGAGGCTTAGCTGAAGGTGGAAAGGCTTCATCTTTGCTGAAATGTCAAAGAAACAGTCGGTGATCCGCGCCAAGACAGTTGGGTCATCTGGCAGAAAGGACAGGTAGAACTGTTTATCGTCTGCGTAGCAGTGGTAAGAAAAGCCATGCAAGCAAATGATCGTCCCTAGTGCTTGGTGTAAACTGAGAAGAGAAGGGCCCCTACCCCCAATCCTTGGGGCACCCCTTTGGAGAGGCACTGAGAGGAGGACAATTGCCAAGACACATTGTAAGAACACTCAGAGAGTTAGAATTCAAACCACAGGAGTGCCTAGCCCAAGATGCCCATTGCCAAGAGTGCAGATAGCAGCATGCTGTGATCTTTAGCCGATCTTAGGGTTTCTGTCACAGACAACAGAGCCGTAAAACCTTGAAATGGATCAAGGAGGCTATTCTGTGAGACTAACTCTGTGCCCGGTCTGAAGACAACCCTTTAGATAGCTTTGGATCAGAGATGGGGAGTTAGAGACTTGGACTTGAGTGCGACTTAAATCGCACACACAGTGACTTGAGACTAGACTTGAGACTCGTCCTGAAAAGACTTCAGACTCGACTCAGACTCGAGGCGCGGGACTCGTGAACAATGTTTATTTTTAAGAAACATCTGATGAGCTTGCTGTTATTCCCTCCCAAAGTTACCTATAACCTGCCTACGTAGCATCTGCTGCTTGCGGCCGCACGTGAGAGAGGACAACAAACACCGGCAGCTGCTGTGCCATTTATCATAAACTTTGGCTTTAAAACTTCATACAACAAGACCCAAACAAAGACGAGCTGAACGCAAATATGTGGTGAGTGAACATGTTTAGCTCAGTATTGGCCATCTAACGTTTGCTTGCTTCTTGCTTCAGCTACGAGCTATGGAAGGTTTGCTCTGACTGTCGTTCGTTATGAAAAGATGAACGAGTGTTTGTTTACTTGCCAAACTTGTGGTGGTCGATTAACGTAATCATTTACGTCCTGCTGGCTGCCATCATCTTAGTTATTGCTATTGGCTAGAAAGAGGTTACAGGTTTATTGTTGATCATGTAGCCTTATAGTTTTATTTAGTTATAGCCTAACATTACACTTGTTTGAGAGTCTGCAGGGTGTGTTGACTTACAGTAGTTTAAGCTGTCATTGATTGCATTGCACATTATAGTTGTGCTCTGTGAAAAACAGGTTACAGTTTATTGTTTTGAGAGTCAGGAAGATGTGTTGACTTACAGTAGTTTATAAGCTGTCATTAATTGTAGACGCATTGTACATTAGGCTACATGGTTGTGCTCTGTAAGTTAAAAACTTTTTAAGATTTATTGTTGATTATGCAACGTCACAGTTTTATTGACTTACAGTATTTAATAAGCTGTCATTAATTGCATTTCACATCACATGGTTGTGCTCTGTAAAAGAAAAACAGGTTAACAGTATTCCTTATAGCTATGAAGTTTTATTAGCAACCTGGATTGAATGCAGCAGGTGATACAACATTCATTATAACCACGAGAGACTTGACTTGGACTCTAGCTCAAAGACTTGTGAGCATCTCTGCTTTGGATAGAAATGACATAAGGGAAATCGGCTGACCACCATAGCTGCAGGGACTGCAGGGGTGGGATATATAAACAGCGCCGTAAGACACAATCTACCTCCTGTAGACTGCGTGAGCTTAGAACAATGATTAGGCAAAAGGTGTGTGCAACCAGAGAACAACAACTGCGTGCGCCGGACCCGGCGCCTGCCGTCGCCTTGCTCATGTCATGGTGATGTGATTGCAGCGCCAGGTGTTGTGCCGAAGTCTGCACCTGTTAAAGTAGACTTGCCCCCCGCCACAGTTACGCTGTCATTCTGTGGGAAACACTGCTTATGATCATTGAGTTTAACATTTAAGCAACACTGAAACTGGAGGTGATGGAGCAGTGGATAAGACGCATGCCTTCAACTCCCCACTGGAGAGTCCACCATTGTGTCCCTGAACAAGACACTTAACCCTCAGCTCCAGAGGTGTGCGACCTCTGACATAAATTTGAATTGTGAGTCGCTTTGAATGAAAGCGTCAGCTAAATGAATAAATGTTAAATGATGGCAGAAAAATGTCAGTTACGCAGCTAATGAGTCATACAAAATGCAACACGGGGCTCCTAAAGTGGGTCTGCTAATTAGCTGCTGCATCCTGACAAACAACCACAAACAATGAGCAGTAATCAATATGCAATCAATCTCTCAACAATTATTGGATAGATTGTCTTGGTTCCCAGAGAATGAATATCTGCCTCAGTGGGGTTATAGATGGAGGGGTAAGTGCTGTTTTCACTGTCTCCATCCAGAATCACTCTGCCGTTCCAGGGATCATTTGTTTTCAAACCTTCATTTCACACAAATCTAAACCTTCCTGGTTAGATAAAGACCTAGGGTTGAGCCTTCAGGTTCCAGCAGCAGTGTCATTGTGGAAGAAACTGTGGATTTGCTGAGCTACAGCCTGACCCACAAATGGCTCCAGCTTGGTGTCGGCGGCGTGGCAGGGCTTCTGGATGCTATTGTGTAGGACGGCCAGAGTGTTGACCCTGCCGACTCCGGGGACCTGCTGGACCAGAGCCAGGAACAGTGGGTCCAACAGATGAGACAAACTCATCCTCCTGAAGGAGTTCATTCGGCCAGTCAAACATTATATAATATTTATCATGTTATTTCACTCTCCTTTGCAGTGTAGATCCTTTTTGGGATGTTGCAAGCGAGAGCCAACAATCTTAGGTTGCTCTGCTCCTACTAGTTCTTCATATTGTAGAACTTCACCTTTAATTCTGTCCTCGCTTCCCTGATTGTGCTTTTGACCTCGGGATTTCTGTGCTTCTTTTCTCCTGTCTTTCCTTGTTGCCTATCTTTTGTCTGCCATTGGCTCCTGGAGTGAATTTTGGAGTTTTAGCTATTTAAAATATTACATTTTCATATTATAATACATTTTTTAAAGGGAATTTTACTGGAAATCAAGGGTCACTGTTCATGATGCCACACCAATTTATGACATCATATGATCTATATGACCCTTTCCCCCCCCCAATCAGATGCTTTGCCAGTGATGAATAAGCATTTTTGGGTTATTTTGTGTGTTCCTCGTCAATAAGTTTATTGCTAACTGTGGCAGTTGTCCCAGTTTCACAACACTCACCCTACTTCAGTTATCTCTGGGGGAAATGTCACAGCAGCAGTACACGAACGCACCGCATAGTACAAATAAAAGTAGATGCCCTTTTAAGCATGTGCATTCAAACAAGTGTGCAAATTGCAGATTGTAAAAAGGATTTATTCTCACCAAGACAGGAAACCCCCCTGCCTCCCCCCTCCCAATGCACTTGCATGTTAGTACGTGCATGAAATGACCAAGTTAGCGGGAGATTCCTGGCGGCAGTGCACATATCAGAACAAAGCAGGCAGCTCAAAATGCTCCAAAATGGACATTACACCACGCCTAAAAAGCCTAACTCTGAATCTCAATTCACTTTAGGTTCTACTACAGCCACACATCAATACACGATCAAGACAGCCCGCCTACCTCGTGGCTCCGCAGACGTCAACATCGTTGTCCAAATATCAGAAAACGCTAGAGGCCCATGTGTTGACAGTGTCATGCATGAATTGCATGCACCTCCAAGTACTGCTTTTAAACGCTAGAATATCCTTTGTGGGGTTCATCGGTGATAAATGAGTCGACGTATATATATTTTTTGAATGTTTATACTCGTTAATATTTTGTTACATGAAGTATCATTCATTGAGATTCAGCTAAAAGATGTGGTGATAACCGTGTTTGATCAATGAACACTGCAAAGTGCCAGAAAAGCATTATGTAGCCTACTGTCAAGACGATAAATTTAGTATTTAATTCCCCCCGTTGTGTGTGGTCCATTGTCCTGAAAAATCCCTCCCGCCGTGGAGAAACAGCAGTTTTATTTCTTTTTGATAATTGAGATTGTAGAATAATCTGTGTGTTGTGAGTGTTTTGAAAATGGTAGGCCTACATGGTTTGAGTAGTCCCGTATTGTCAACTCTAATGCTAGAGCAAACTAGAATTAAGATCCGTCTCTCCTGTCAGTAAGCTAGCTACAAGTGCTGTTTATAATAGAGTCGGTTTAGGAGTTGGTTCTCATCACTTCAGGCTAATCACTTACAGAAACGGCAGTAGCGATAATAACTAGCCTATAGGATAGCCGGAAAAATTCCCCATCAATAGTGCCCACCCATTAAAAATAATTGCCCCCCTGCTGAGCTCAGACTGATGCCGGCTCTGCCAGAGAGCTGAGCAACAGGAAGATATGGCTGAGGAATGAAAATGAGTACAAAGCTGCTGCTGGTCCTCCAGTCCGTCTCTCTCTGAAGTCTCGGCCTGAGAAGGTGGGGGTGTTTGTAGATTATGAGGAGGGTCTGGTCTCCTTTTATGACGTTGATGCTGCAGCTCTTATCTACTCCTTTACTGGCTGCCGCTTCACTGAGAAACTCTACACATACTTTAGAAGTGCTACAGCTGAATTAGGTCCACCTGGCCTTGGAGGGCAGTGCACAACTGCGTGCCCCTGAAAATGGGAAGTCCACAATTTATAAATTAAGGTGGTGTATAAAATAGATGCAAGTATGTGCAAGTAGAAAGGCAAGTGGGAATGTGATACAAACACAACTCAGACAGAATTTACCTGAAATTCAATGTGAATTCCAACTCAACTTCTTGGTGGTTGTTGTGAACCTCAGGGGGCAACTCCCAAAAGGGAAGCGAGCAACAAGGGTCCTTTTCAAAGGTAACTAAGGTATCACACAAAACAACGCAAAGTAGTGAAAGCAAACTAGCAAACAAGCACACGGTGCAAACAAAAACAGTAAATCACTTATCCACGGGACTCCCACTGTTGTCACTGCTGGTTACGGTCTCTGCCAACTGCCACAGGCTCGCCGCAGACTCCAAACGCTCAGCGACACGGTCTCTTTTGTTGTAGACCACCATACTCTCAACAACAGCAGCTTCCTTCACCAGAACTTATACTCTCCACTGATTAGGAGAGTGGAATCAGCCGCGCTCCTCAGGTTGCTGCTGCAGCATTGGGGGCGGGGCAAGGTGCTGCTGGTGGCAGAGAGGGAAAACACACAAGCACAACATCCCATATCCACATAAACGGCCCACGGGGTCGTGACAGTTTGAATAATACCTATTCAAACAACAAACACCGGCTGGCCATAGTTCACTCACTGTAGAATATATGCAAGTTTCTCTTGGCAGTCCTAATGAATTCATTCGTGTGCCAGTTTTTGGTATTCAAGTCAAAAGAACATTTTCACGACGACACCTCAGGATGACCTAAAGAAACCACTTGGATTCTCAAGGTAGTTCAATTGGAAAACATAAACAACGGCAAACAAAATCAACAGCATATCTATCCAAGGTCTGCGAGACATTAAGTAAGTAAGTTTCCCTTAATAATGGTATGATGACCAAATTCTGGAGATGTGTCGGTCCGTAGCCCTCTCCACAGAATTAGGGACAAATTCAAGTCAGGTACCTATCAGGTGCAGCTACCTGGCTGCAAAAATGACAAAGCAGGTCTTCCATCAAGTGTGAGCAATAAGCAAAAGGCAGACTTGCTTGCCGTTCCTTACATCCAAAAAGCTTGAGAGTGTTTGGCCCGATCCCAATGTCCCCCCTCACGGACTCACAGACTCTGAGGCGCGTTCCCGGGAAGTCCGTGAGGGCTCAGGGCCATCCCACTGTCAAATCATCAAGTGCGCGAGGGCTCTCTCGCCGACATTAGACTTTTGGTAAGTCCGCATTTCTGCAGACTTTGGCTGAGGGAATTGCCCCCAGTTCATAGCGGTATGACGTGAAACACGGGGGTTACCCATAGACTGTATGGGGTTACCAGGGGAAGCCCGCAAGCGAGAGAAATATCACGGCAAATCTGCGTTATTGGTGAAGAAGAAAACAGTAAACAAACATCGACACCAACGCTGATGTCAAAATGGTTGAAAGTTCTCTTAACTTAAGATGCTGCACAGAACACATGAAGTCAGAGGAAAGCAGTCACCTCGTTACACATTGAGTTTATTCAACTATTTATTATTAAATAAAATATCATGCCAACAATAAACATAAATGGCTCCTATAAAAACAGTTGTGAAAAAATGGGTCGCTCTCAAGAGCTCAGTGAATTGTGAATTGAAGCGTGGTACTGTGATAGACTGCCACCTGTGCAATAAGTCCATTTGTGAAATTTCCTCACTACTTAAACATAATACAGAACAGAACAGAAACTCAGTCATGAAGAGGTAGGCCACATAAAATCACAGATCAGTGCATGTGCAGAAGCCACCAACTTTCTGCAGAGTCAATAGCTACAGCCCTCCAAACATCGTGTGGCCTTCAGATTAGCTCAGGAACAGCGCGTAGTAAGCTTCATGGAATGGGTTTCCACGGCCAATCAGCTGCATCCAAGCCTTACATCACCAAGTGCAATGCAAAGCGTCGGCTGAAGTGGTGTAAAGCACGCCGCCACTGGACTCTAGAGCAGAGGAGACGTGTTCACTGTTACAAATCACGCTTCTCTGTCTGGCAATCCGAAGGGCGAGTCTGGGTTTGGCGGTTGCCAAGAGAACGGTACTTACCTGACTGCATTGTGCCAAGTGTAAAGTTTGGTGGAGGGGGGATTATGGTGTGGGGTGGTATTTTCAAAACATTTTGGACAATTTCATGCTCCCAACTTTGTGTAAACAGTTTGGAGATGGCCCCTTCCTGTTCCAACATGACTGCGCACCAGAGCACAAAGCAGGTCCATAAAGACCTGGATGAGTTTGGTTGAACACCTTTGGGATGAATGGAGCGGAGACTGCGAGCCAGGCATTCTCGTACAACATCTGCGCCTGACCTCCCAGATGCGCTTCTACAAGAATTCCAATGAACACAATCCTAAAAGCTGATTACCAGTTTTAGAACAGTATTTTGATGTTTTTTAAATGGAAAATCTAGTGTTTGCAGGTGTTGTATCATATTTTTAGATTAAACATTGATTACATTTATAAGATATTTATGTCAAATGATATAATAAAACTTAACTAGTCTGATTATTTGTATTTTAGCAGTGTTCAACTTTAATTATAGGTAATTGAATGGAATTGAATTGAATTGAATGTTTTTGTAAAATGAAAGTTACAAACTGTATTGTCATTATGGAATATTACCGTGCCTCTAAAAGTTAGTTATTTTACTATATTTTTCTGCCACAATATTCCCATTTTTTCACCTTTTTTTAAACAGTGTATGTGACTGTACGGATCCCCCCTAGTCCCACTTTGTCGAAAAAATAAAATTATAATTTTCTCGTGGCCTCAAGATAAGTGTATATAAAAAGGCACAATGGAGCAGCTTTTCTCCCCAAAGCAGTGCACAGGGCCTGCTCCAGCTACCACCTCCTTCAAGCGCTCCTTAGTGATAAGGATAGATTTACTTTTATATAAACTTAGGGGTGAGTTATGCTATGGGAACGGCAGCGCCAACATCGTAGCTGCCCAGAGGAGGGGAAAGAGAGCGGGATCAGAGCTATGTTGGCCCAGCTTGGACCTAAGGCTGCTCCTAAACCTCTGGTCTGGACAAAATGGGACTCGGGTTGGCCAAGAAACGAAAATCAGAGACTGCTGTGCTCAAATGTTTACAGAGACTTGCTTATTAACATCCTGGATCAAGCAATCCATGCGCAGTTTTCAAGCTGTGAGGATAACGGCCACATTATCATCTTGCTGCTGTTTACATTCACTTAAAATCCGTGAGTGAGTCCTGCTGAAACAGGCGTTTCTCCAGGCTGGTTTCTCTCTCTCTCTCTCACTGCTACACCGGGTAGAAAAGGAAATTTGCTCAGAAAGTTAGGCCTATACTGAAAAGCAAGCAGGCTGTACAACCAACTATGATTTGATCTCATCTCCCTTTCAGCATTCTGGACAGCGCCGTTGTTCCTAAGGACTTCACAATTTCACAGCACAAATGTGGAGTTTAGGGTAATAACATGGCAGAATATTTTACCAAACAGCGTATAGGCCTACTTGCCAGCATATGGTGCACTTTATAATCTCAAAGATTATCCGAGATTCGTTTTCCTAAAATGCTATGTATATAAATAAATGTATGTTGTTTCATTTTATTTTTAAATGTTACTATATTTGAATATAAGTTTAATAATCTGTTAAATTCTGTGTGACATGAAGCTAGGTGCGAACTATGGGGGAGCTTGGTTCCTCTTAAGAAATGAGCTCCCCTAAACATGATTTGTGACATTTGGGGGGGTCTCTTGACATTATGTTAACTCTGTATCATAGATGCTTAAAATCAGGAGTTTCTGGCTTTATCCAGCCAAAGAGAGCGATCACCGACAGTCCGCAGTGCAGTGTTATCAAACATTTAGATAATCAGGGAAATACCTACTGAATTTCAGAGTTGGTTGTAGGCTGCTGCTAATGTAACTCAATCCAGCAACAGAAAGCAGCTTATATCAGCCTTTCACGAGCTGGCAGAAATACTTCCATTAATGGCGTATTAAAGCCCATTTAGTCTGCGGAACAAATGTAGACACTGTACATCTACTGGTTCTGATATTTTAACAGAACCCTCTCTTTGCGCATAGCATGACTTTCTTTTTATATCTTCTCTATAACTCATTTTGCTCTTTGTTAAATGCCCGACGTTGGACTTATGGCCTATAAGATAAAATGTCTCCACTGAAAGTGATTTTAGCTTTCACTCAGCCGTCACTTAGCAGAAAACAATAATTAAAAATAAGCATGTAATTCAATACATTTATTTCTTTTCTGTGAAGTTAACTAAAGTAATTACTCATTTCTAACGATCATTGACCTCCGCTCTCTGTCCATGGTGCTGAAATATGCTACAATAGACGATGAGAGGCGTTTTCACTGCGCTTTCTAAGTCACGGATCACATGCAAACATTAGTCTTTGAGAATGTGAGCAAAGCTACACGCTGTTAAAACAGTTTTCAATAGCATAGTAGGTCCGTGACATCGTGTCACATTAGCCTACCATTCCTTGGCTTATGCTGAAACAAGGTAGGCCTACATGTGGAAAACGTTGTTTTGATACGTCTTTAGCAAGGATCTGAAAGTGTCAGGAGTCCGAGGCATTTCTTATTTCAGCAGGTAAAGTGTTCCAAAGATCAGGAGCAGCTACTGAGAATTCCTCGGTCACCGTTAGTTTCTAGCCTGGACTTGTGCTAACTTGTCAAACGTTTGAGCTCAATCGTGTAACAAAGGAAACAAAATGTGTCCATACACAGATAAACACATTAAACAGAATGAGCTCCAGTCACCAGGTTTCTTCCGACCCAACTCATGGATAACGAGCTCTGTGGCCCACATGTAGGTTTCATTCCGCAAGCATGGGCAATCCTAAACGCAACAATTACACACAATGTGGAGTTTAATACATAGGCCTACATCGTACAGCACTAAACCAACGCATTGGTATATTGTGCATAATAACTCATTATGTTCTCACCAAAATAGCTTGTTTACTTCCTGTATTTTCCAGTTCCCCACGCTGCTGTTTGAGCCAGGAATGCTGTCTAAATTTAACATCTGCAGCAGTCCAACTAAAGCAGAACGTAGTATTTACAGAGGTTTAATTACCTAAATGTCCCGTTTCTTTAAGCTATTTCTTACTTACTTACAGATATTTAACTGTAAATAGCCGGGATATCAGGTGCTGAGCCAGCAGTGAGAGATTTATGTTTGCAAAGGTAGGCTATGTGTGCGTGGGTGGTCAAATAAAGA